AGCAGTCAAAGAGTGAGGCTAGGTTCAGACCTGAGCGATACCCGGGACGTGCGATCGTGTGCTAGTGCACACAGCGGTTGCTGCGCGTGCCCCATTGATTTTCATTACATACATGCGGCAATCGCTAAAAAAAAAAGGTACAAGTACCTTTTTTTGTGACGCACAACGCACAGCTTTTTTTTTTTAGCTATGATGGTGTTCAATTGCACAGGGGGAATTGCAGCGAGAAAACCGCACGATCTTCCCGGTGAGACTGGGGTGCCATTAGAAAATAATGGCACCGCCAGCGCGATCGGCTGTGTTGAGCGATTCTGTGACCGCCCGGCAATCCGCGCGGTTTTGTGCACAATTGCCGCACGGTCGCAGATCACCCAGGTGTGAACCTAGCCTGAAGTAACTCCTTATCTACATCCTTGTTGCAGGATAGTGAAAATATTGAAGCCATTGGATCAGTATAGCAGCGAAGCAGATAGCACTGTCGCAAACAATTAGACGTTAGTAATGGAAGCCTCCAAATCTTACCCATCTTGGTTTTATGGGATATCGGGAAGAATTGTTTTTTCCGCTGTTGGAGCAAATTGAACCATGCATTATAGTTTGTTTTTTTTGTTGCCTTCCTCTGGATCAACTGTGGGCATAGGGTTCCCTTTATGGACATTGGTTTTTTGTTTTATCTATATAGTTTGAGCTCAATGGGCTTGTGTTTTTTTTTAAAAACCTGACTAAATATGTAACTATGTATGTAACATCTGAGCTGTGAAAACCACAGACTAATACAACCTGAGGTTTAGACTCTGTCAAGGAGCACCTGAATTGAATTGAACTGAATATGATCCCATTTGGTATGTTGAACTCTTAGTTACAATAAACCAGAGGTGGGTAGATTGACGCAAAGTTGGACTACATGCATTAGTTTATCTTAGGTGGAAATAACTGAATAAATAAGTGGCATGCTGATAACACTATATGCATGAAAGTCATTGAACAGTAGCTGTTATATATGAAATGAGTGAAATCAACATATATATTGATGCATTCTACAATATGAGGAGCATTAATATTTGTGGCTGCTTGATTCTGCTTAATTCCATGCAAGATCAATTCTGAGAATTCACTCCAAACAGTAGTGCATTAAAGGAGAACTATGAGGTGAGTGTTTTTCACTCACCTCATAGTTCTAGCTAGGGCTGCAACAACTAATCGACATAATCGATTATAATCGATTTATTGAAAAAGTTGTCAACTTTTTCAATAATCGATTAATCGGCTTCTGATTGGTTGGCCCTGTTCGGCTCCACACACGCTGTGCGCCCCACCTCCTCCCCACCTCACAAAGTGGTGTGCTAAACTGCACACTTGGCTTTTCCAACCTGCAGCACCCTGCTGCATGGGACTCCACTCTGACTCCCGGGCGGAGCTTTCCTGTCTCCCAGGTGGAGCTTTCCTGTCTCCCAGGTGGAGCCCTGAACCCTTCCCAACACCGTTATTTTAAAGGCTGTGCACACCTCTGCCATCAGCATGCGCTGGACATTCAAAATCTGGACACAGGAATGGAGAATACACAGTGGCATTGCCACGCACTGCCACACAATCTATAAAACACATTCATCCATCTCATGCATTGAGATTTAGAGATTGGCTTTGATGATGTAGCAGGCCGTCTTAAACTTTCTCCACTCGTGACCCCTTTTTGGCCGAGGAAATTTTTAGGGGACCCCAGCATCGGACGGTGTCTCCCCTCTTTCCCTCAACGTCGGTGTTCCCCCCCTCCCCTAGCATCAGTCGGTGTCTCTCTCCTCCTCTCCCCCCCCCGCCGTGGACGGACAGTCAGTGTGTCATTACCACCTACTACTAAGCCCCCTCTCCCTCCTTATCTTTAACTCCAGCAGCTGTGCTCCACTTCTGCTGGGTTAAAGAAAGCTCTGTCAATGTAAAAAAAACAAAAACCTTCCTGCATGCACGTGCTCAGGAAGGTACCAAGTGCACAGAGGTGGGGGGTATGCGACCTTAAGAACTACACTACACTGCACATTAAACGAAAAGAAAAAAAAAATCTTGCTTGGAGCCCAGGCCGCCTGGGCCCCTCACACAAGTACCGGCTGTACCCCCCTGATGGCGGTCCTGGCCGGGGACTCAGATCGCGACCCCCCTGTTCACTTGTGGGACCCCCATATGGGGTCGCGACCCACACTTTAAGAAGCACTGATGTAGATAATGTATTTGGAGGTTACTGCCAGTCCTCACGTATCACTTCCCCCTCCCGTTAGATTGTAAGCCCTCAGGGACAGGGCCCTCCTCACCATATTGTCTTGAATTGTATTGTAATGTCTTCCTTATATTGTAAAGCGCTCCACAAACTGTTGGCGCTATATACATCCTGTGTAATAATAATAATAATAATTAATATAAAGTTAGATCAAATATTAAACATGTAAATTTCATTTAATTCCGAATGGATATTTGTTTTAATTTGGTTAAATCCGGACATTCGGATCCATCTGAATCTCCGAATCTGAACGTGTCCTTATGCGAATGGATCCAAATTTCATTCCAAATTAAACTAAATTGGACATGTGACTGTTCTCTGCCCAATCAGTTTTTTTTTTGGCTGTTGGGGATTTCATTACAGGCAAGGTCATGTGACTTCGTTCTGAAACAAAAATTCGGACGGGTCCGAAATCTAAATAACGAACCAAATCGAATTTCGGGTCAGCAAAACTGGTCCCAAAAAAATGAGTCTAGAGGCTTCCTGTTCATTCATAACAGGGGCTGCAGAAAAAGAGGTTAGGGACTCAATCTATTTTTTTTATTTTTAAAAGGAAATATCATTCCCGAGGATATATCTGTTTAGACCCCTGATATTTCCCCAGAGCCCCCAGTCAGTAAAGTTAAAAAAAAAACACATACAAATAAAACTATTTTAAATGATTTAAAAAGGTTGGAAACTTTTTTGAAATTTTGGTTTCGGTTTTTGGTCTAAAAATGTAATTTTCATATTGTTCAAGTAAAGTTGCATCCACAGCACTGTCATGTACATTGCACACTTGCTTTGTATACATAATGAGGCAATCAGGGCTTCTTCGAGAATAATCATTCATGTATGTGAATGTGACAGCAGCAGGCAGTGTGCGTGACAGCAGAGACACTCCTACCAGGTAAGGTTGCTCAGGACATGCTATGTGTTCCTGCTATGCAGGTAATGCAGGTCTGTCACGCATATCTTACTTATCATTACCTGAAATTTCAGACTTCGAGGAAACAGCATGTGAGGCAACATGTGACTTATCCCCAACCTCTGCTTGCTGGATCTCTGCAGGTTTTTACAGATAAAAGATATCTCATTGGGATTATAGCAGATAATGGCAAACAATGCCGCTGCCTGCACAGTATTTTACAAGTCTGGTCGGGAAGGTGGGGATTGCTGCTAGCTTTGTAGATAGGATAGGTCCTGTTCGCACTAGTGCAATTTGTTTTGCATCAGCCATCGCGCTGCAATGCACGACAAAGGAAATCACATTAATCTCAATGGTGCCCGTTCATATCAATGCAACTTGGTGCAGTGCAATTTCTGAAAAGGTGCTGGGGCTTCTTTTAGTGCTACACAGTGCATTTTTGGCCACATAGACTTCAAAGTGCATTTTGGTGATGCCACCTAATGATATCAGGTCTGCTATTGGTCAGATTAAAAAAAATGCCTGAAAAAGCATAACAAATGCACATAAACGCTCTACAAGAATGTAGACGCCCCTGACTTAAGAGTCTAGCTGTAAAAAAAATTACATAGCTTTTCAGCATGCACATTCGTTTTTTGTGAATGAACCTGCTGTTGTGAGAGAAAATGTAATGTTCTTAGGTTATTTTCTATTTTGTTCAAATATTATGGACAGTAGTAAAAATAGGACAGACCATAGAACACAGATGTGACTCCTGTGATGGCAATGAACCTATTTTTATTACTGTCCATAATATTAGAGGAACATTTGACCAGAAGAGCACTATTTTTTCAGGCACTGCAAGCACTATTTTTTCAGATTGCACCGGCCCGGAACGCAGGCGTTGTTTTGCCACACGTTCTGGTATGGGCGATCTCACTCACGCTGTTCTGTCAAACTTTGTGACTGCGTTAGAATGTGTGACCGGTGACGTGGTCACACATTTTAACCTAATCCTGCCCAGTTTTTCAGCGGTGGAATGTGTGACTGGCAAAAGGTGAAGAATTCCAACACTTTCTCAGCTGTTCCAGGGCAGATCGGCATCGTGTATTATATGTGCAGGAGAACCGTTCTGCCCTGGAACAGCTGATCGGTCCTGAAATGTCACTTCTATCCGACTTTGTGACCGCGATCTCACATTCCACAAAGTCGGATAAAAGTGACATTTCAGGACCGATCAGCTGTTCCAGGACAGATGGTTCTCCTGCACATACCATATGCGATGCCGATCTGCCCCGGAACAGCTGAGAAAGCGTTGGAATTCTTCACCTTTTGCCGGTCACACATTCCACCGCTGAAAAATTGGGCGTGATTACATTAAAATACGTGACCGTTGGCCGTGGCTGTGGTGCTATTGAGTTCAATGCACTGCCACGCCCCCTCCCACCCCTGAACGCAGGAAGCCAGCTGGGATATGATACAGTGCGTTCCAGCAGCTGACCGCTCTGGAACGCACACTGCTCTATGTCTTTATATGTATATATATATATAATGTTATTATTACAATTGGAAAAATTGTACAGTCATTATTACAATTCGTTTTTAAGTTGTTGAACATGCGTGACAAGGATTTGCTTTCTCAGCAAAATCAGACTTTGCACTGTGAGAATAGTTATTCTTTGTGTATTTTTCCAATAACTCATTTCGTTTTGGCTCAGTTGAACTGTTGGACCTATTCATGAATGGAGTCATGCCAGGAGAGGCGTGGCTATTACATGGCCCCTCCCAGTCTCATTGTGGTCAATGATCCCTGTACACACACTGTAGAATTACTCTGTTCCCTCTGATTTCACTACAATGGCTGCATGGAAGAAGCAGAATGTTTTCCTTCTGGTCTTTGTGTTGCAGTTCCTCTCTATTCATGGAGCCAAAATCCTGACAATCTGCTTCATTGGTGAGTCCTTCCACCTAGATTCGATAGAGAGAGAGAGATTCGATAGAGAGAGAGAGAGAGAGAGAGAGAGAGAGAGTACTTTCTGTGTAATATATTCTTCATGTTCAGATAACTTTACATTCCTGAGTAAGGAGACTACAACAAATTCCATTCCTGTCTTCCCTACACTTTTCATTACAGCATTGTGTGTTATGTACTGTGAGTGATTTCTAGGTAATTAGTCATTCAGTAAAGAAGCAATCTGCTATTTTTAAGTAATTTGCATTCCTGAAAAGATCAAGCATTCATTATTATATTGGAACGCTCACTATAAGAATAAGGAAATAGACAAATAAATACTTTTCACTCCGCATAAGCGGGGTCCATCTTTCTATTCTCAGATATTTTGGAGGTATGTGTCTGCAATACATTTATAGACCTTTCATACATGATCAACACAGACTTATATTCCCATGCCTAGATTTCCCTCACGATACATACTAGGACACAAAATATGTAGGACCACTATCTAATGTACTGGTTCTCAACCTGTGTAACCTCAGGACCCACATTTGTCCTCGGTCATTCAGTCATGACCCAAGTTGCACTGCAATGGAACGCACAGCATTAGGAAGCCGCTCGTTCCGGTGCAGGTGTATGAACTGCAGGTGGGAGGGGCATTTGGGGTACCATTCAAATCAATGGCAATGCAAAACTCCACCCACAACAGAATGCACGGTAGCTGCGATTGCGTGGTACAGTGCGTTAACCGCACGATACTATGCGATTAATGCACTGTACTAGTGTGAACGGGTCCTTAAAAACACTGACACACATACACAATCCAAACATTTTTTTATTTCATTATTTTTTTATTAAGGTCCACCCAGTCTTCCTACCTTACGAGTCTAGCCCCTATATAATATACATATATGTGCTATCACAGCGATTCTTGTTCCTAACTGTAAGGAGTTAATTTGTCACTGTGTGTGATCTGAAGCAGAGATTTGTGGGGATTGCAGTGCAGAGCTGACACTGGGGATTGTTAATAGAGCTTTTGTGAACTACGACTCCCAGAATGCTGTGCAAGAGGAAGGAGGAAGGGCTATGGATTGCAGTGACTGAGCGTGCCCAGTCTGACTGGGGGATCTGGAGGAGACAGGCCTGTGTGTGAGGCACTGTGTGAATTAGGACTGCAGGCAACAGAACTGAGTGATTCCCACTGACAGTTTGGGACACACAGAATCGGTACAGCCGCATCCTGAAAGACTGATGTTCATCTGCTAAACCGGAGAGACTGTGTTTGAGCACCCGAACTGAGGCCTAGTCGCGTGGCTGAACCGGCCACCGGAGTAATCCAGCCTGCCCAGCTGAGTGAGTGGAGCCGACGGAGCTGACTGAGATCATTGCCAGGTACCCTAGATGACCCTAGACGGCCCTTAGACGATCCGAGATGTCGTGCCACAGGCCTTAGAAGACTACATGCATTCACAGACATCGGTCTGAGGAAAGAGGGACATTCACCTTCCACAGACAATCATCCTCCTTTTCCCAAAGGGACACTGGAAGTGGTGAGAGGCCTTTGGCCATTGCAACAACTGTACTTTCTACATCTGCTATACAGCAAGGGCCCCAACGTTGGCTAGCCTAGGACAGTACTACTGGCCAGTAGTTTAGAGTGGACTAGATACTGTTAAGTAGAGATATTACTGTTGATTATATTCAATTTAAGTGTATTATCTGAGACAATCTGACATTGCTGGTTTTTCGTGCATGCAATATATATATATAGCTGCAGCTACTGAGTTGTAGATTGCCTTAGCCTGCTGCCTTATATCCCTTTGTGTGATTGTTGGGTATACTATTGCCATAGTTGCTTTGTATGTTGTGCTTTTATTAAATCTGCTATAAAACTGTTCAAAGGTGTGTTGGTGTGCTGTGGATCCAAGATTTGGGTGGTACATTGGTGCAGGGGGATAGAAATATCCGGTTATTCAGCGGCTCCTTAGGGGGTGAGCGCTACACGAGAACTGGAGTGGATCCTCAGCCTGTGGCCCAGTGTGGGCTGCTGTGCTGTGACAGAGCTCCATACATATGTCCATTGCTTGTGCAGCTCCCTTGCGTGCCCTGTAGAGGTGCCTGAAGCCAGAATGTGATGTCACCATGGCATCATAGGACACGGGAGGGAGCTGTAAGGAATGCATGTATAGATGGAACTCCCTCACGGCCATAGCTCCATCTCATCCCACCTCAGGCTGACACTTGGCGCTGGACAGCATATTTTGAATGGCTGCTTGGCAGGAGAACTGACAGTGCTGCGCTAGGGGGAGGCAGAGGAGCCACTGAACACTGGGTCACGACCCACCAGTTGAGAACCAGGGAACCTTCAATCATCTCAGGATGGAATCACCAACGCAACTTCTTTTTGTTAATATACAAGAACACACCAAATGTCAGCTACTGGGCATGCTGTTTATATTTGCCTTTGCATACATATTACATATTTCCTATTACTGTAACCATGTCATCTTTGTATGCGAAAAAACTCAATGAAAATGAAAAAAAAAAAGGAAATAAGAAAAAAAATCGAACCACCTCGAGGATCTGTATGTTGCTCAAGTAAGGCAGCATCCACAACTACTGTATACATCTGCATTTCCTTCATTTATAAAGAATCTGAGCCATTCACTGTCTCTCTATGAAGAATAATTCACTGGATGGCAGCAGCAGGCAATGTGCGTGAGAGCAGAGACACTCCCACCTGGTTAGGTTGCTCACGTAGATATGTGCTTCTACAATGCAGAGAATATGGAGATTATTCCACACATCTTTATAGAGCTCATTACCTGGAATGTCAGAGACTGAGGCAGCATGTGTGGCAGATGTTGCAGAAGAGTTGTCACTCAATGACAACTGTCTGCTGTGTACATTCCTCACATTACACTTTTAGTATTAAAATAATATTAAACTCTCAAACTCTTTTTCGATAATAAATTCAGATCACACAAATATACATTTCCCAGCAAAGTACTTCTTTACAGTTTTGCCTAAGCAATTACAGTCATCCTGATTCTGAACAGCTCCAACTCTCTTAGTTCTGCTTCCCTGAACTTCCTGTCCACTACAAGCTCACAAGGAACAGAGCAGTCTCCAGTGGTTGACCGTTTACTAGCTTGGAGAAGGGAAGGGGGGAGAAGTGAACTTGCATTGCTGTGCCTAAGTTTGTGGAGATGCACAGCTTACTAGCACACACAAAGATGGCTCCATAGGACCCTGTAAGGGAAAGGAGCTACCCCAATACAGAATATCAGGACCAGTGCTCAGGGGGCCAGTTGGTTCTGCAGGAAACTAAAACTTTTAAACAACAAGGAGCAGCACCCATTGTAAGTGATGTCATCAGCATTTGAAATAATTTAAAAATCTTTGGTCTTTAAAGGGATATTAAAGTTTTTTTTACAACTAGGCGGCCCACCTTTCTATATATCTTCTGTTCTTTCTCTTTAAAAGTGCTCTGTTCCTCATTTCCTCATCCCTGCAGCGCTCATCCCCCCCGTCCCATGCACGGGTGCCGCCATCAGCTAAGCAGTTGCTGTGGAGGCACCCGTGCATGCTCTGGCCCGCAGTAGCTGTGTGCGGTGACATCGGTGACACAGGTAAGTGGGGGAAATACAAAAAGGTAATGGTCGTTTTTCATCCTAATGCAGAGAATAAATTAAGATAAAGAACGACCAGCCTTTAATACTACTTTAATATCACTTTAATTCATTCTTTTACATCATACAACACTCACATACACATTTGAAAGCTGAGCTCCAGCCACAGAAACTTTCATTTAACCCCTTCGTGACGGGAGACGTACAGTGTACGTCTTGTCACTTTGTGCCTATATGACTGGCCACGTACACTGTACGTGACGAGTTATATCAGGCTTTACATGCTGTATTCCTCAATAGCTGCAAATTACATAAATCCACTTTGTGCGAAACAAAAGCATTTTCACGCCCAGATATCACCTTGTAAATGTAGCCGTGACATCATCACTGTGCTGTACATAGCCTGTGCAGGGAGCAGAGCTGTGGGAGGGACCCAGCAGGCCCCACCCACTACAGTCTGCCTGTAAAAAAAACTACAGGATGGGGCGGAGAGAAGACCAGTCACCCTGCACAAGGAGATAGTGAGCAGCAGTAACCGATCTTTATTACAGGAAGCTCCTGCACAGAGGCAAAGTCTCACATTGGATTACTGCAGATATGAAAGAAATATACAAAGCTCACCAAGGTACAAGAATACATATGACTTTTGTATTTAGACGATATTTTCTTGTTCCAGAGTTCAGCTGTCTCTCACTGTAAAGATGCAGTGACAAATACAGGAAGAAATCCTATTAGGTTATCACCTAAAAGATCAGAACAAGCCTTACCCACTGGATAGCATTAGGGCCTGGTAGAAGGTCAAAGTCTACATTCATCCCATGAGATAATGATTTTTAGGAAAATTGAGTACATTTTGAAAGTTGAACTCTGGACTTTTTAAGTTTTAAATAGTGTAGGGACAATTTGATGTTTGTGGTGTATCACTGTACTGAGTCCCCCGACTTATTGTGTTGTCACTGGAAAAAGAAGTCAAGTAGGGTGACATAAGTAGTAGTACATACTCAGGGCTGGATTTACTCTCCCTGCCGCCCCAAGGCCAGGTTCTGCGATGCGCGCCCGCCGACCCCCCCACCCCCTCTTCCCATCAATGGAGAATGGCAACAAGATGGCAAGGCGGCGGGGTTAGTGTACATTTTTTTTTAATGTTTCTTTATTTTTCTTTTACTTTTTTATCACTTTTTTTTAATTATTTCTTCTTATTTTTAAAATTTTTATTTAATTATTGTTTAATGAATT